GCCATTGTCATTCCTAAAATGGCAATTGGGCACATACAAGGCAAGGGCTCATAAAGTTTGAGTTCCTCACACATAATTTTGAGTGCTCCATAATGTTCTGACAGAGATTGTTCTCCTTGAGAGCATAAGGCTATATGTATTTTGAAGTGATACACTCCAACAAGTTAACTTTTTAGGAAATTTGCCCTTTTAAAGAGTCCTAGATTTCTTCTCCAACACTATGAAAAACGATCCACTTCTGTGTTTTCATCTATAGAAATGAGAACCCATGAATCTGATGTCATCCACTCTTCAAACTTTGGTCATAAGGATCTACGCACTTGGATGCTCCAGCTATGCATCCAATCTTGAATTTTCTCTTAAAGGGTCATTGTGCTAGACTTCTCGAAACAAAATAGTTGTTGTCATTCAACTTGACATCAGCAATTTGTATGGCCATTGACTTGCTGATCGGCCATTAAGGGGATAAAATAACTCCCTAGGAGAGAATCTGATATAGAAAGCTTACCCAAAAATGACGTTGCGGGCTTGTACAATTTCCAAACACCTAGAATTAGTCTTGATATGCCAAATATTCACTCAAAAACAAAAAAAGAACTAGTCTTGATCATTTTGGGGAAAAATGCAAGTAGACACTCCAAAAGCGATGCACGTATTGATCAGTGCAAACCCTAGTCCAACAAGGGCCTTTATACCAGAGGCATTCTTTCTGTAAAAATCAATCGGTCTACCTTCAACGTATTAGCTCTGCTCACCATAGAGCTAATACAACATTTTTTTGCAGCATTAGCATCTAAAGTTTCACTAGTAACTTGTTTGGAGAAGCAGTCTGTAGCAGGGTTTTGTGGGATAGGCCTTAGGTACTGGGTCAGAATAGTGGAGAGGTGAAGTCCTTTTTTGGGCCTGCTCTAGTCTGCAACTCATAAAAACATGCGTCAACTAATTGGCCTTTCATTCCAGATCACCAAGAGTAATTCCGAATCTTACTAGCCCATTTTAGCACCTTAATCTGAAATATTGGATCAGAAACCTGAGGGACAAAGAAAATCAATTTTCTTCAAAAATTCACATATTGTGAACAGCCTCGATCGATCCTGACACCCTAATTTGAAGTCAGGGTTCGGTAAATGCAGCCCTATTGGTGAAGGATTGTGAAGCTTGATCCTCATGCTGGGAAACTATAGCCAGATCTGGTAGGCCAATCTGGCAACCACCGAAGCTGGGCACTGTCAAATTAAACTTCTCTGTCATTCACTTGGAAACCTTGGTAGGGCAAGTGCAAGAGGTATTTTTAGAGATTCTCAGGGATCCTCAATCTTATCCTTCTCGGGGCCCATAGGTATTGCCACTTCACCTATGGCCGAGGTATTTGTGCTCTTCAAGGTCTCAAGTTGTTCAGCAGAAGCTGAGGCACCTATTTTTTTGTGTGTGTGTATATACACACACACACACACATATGTATATATGTGTATATTTATATAAATATTTATATATATATATATTTATATATATATATATATATATGTGTATATATATATAAATCAGTATTTAAAAAAACGCCGAGTCGAACCGGACTCGCCCGGTTCAACTCGGGAATCGCAATGGACGGATCGAATCAGCAAAAAAAACGGGAATCGTCCGGTTCTAGAGAGAACCGGACGATTCTGCACAGTGACTCGCCAATTCACTGTACGGATCGGCGAGTCCCGTATGGTTATTTTTTTTTTTTTTTTTTTTTGTAATCCATGATTAGTATTTTTTTGTAATA